TCATTTTTAGAATATAAAAAAAAAAATGTATAATGTTAAAAATGAAATTAAAATTAGGCTCTGAAATCTACCAAAAGTCATAACCAAAGGTAAAGTCTGTTTGAACAACAACTGACAATTTTTGTTAGACATGGGATTCCTGTACTAACAGACCTTTAAAGTCATCACAATTTTAGGAGCCTTACATTTCTGCAGGCTTGCAGGGATAGGAAAACGTAGCACCAATTCAAATATAGTTTACTTCCAGTATCCAATATTACTTCCCAGAACTAACATTTTCACGATCAGTATCTAATTAAAAAGTTAAAATTTTAATGTCTAACACTGCCTTCTGATGAGCTTGCCATAAGAAACTGGATGGCTACTTGTAGACTTATGGCTTGGTTGCAAAGCTGATTTTAAACCTTTAACGTTAACCTACAGTCTGCATTTGCTCTGTTACACAACTATTTTAAAACACACTAGAAAAGTGTTTAAATAAAAATATTATTGATACTCCTTTTTAAACCTTATTTTGGCAAACTACTAAGGAAACATGACAGCATGTAAGTATGTCTGAAAATAAACAATCTTTCTATAAGTAAAGCAAAAAGTCAGTTTGCCACATCCAGTATGTTGGAAGCTTTCAGGAACAGGAATAAATGCCATGTACCCAATGTTACACCAGTGAACTCCCCATTTTGTATCTGGGCTTACATTACAGTTATCAAAGCCTTCCAGGGACAGCCTTGATAGCACTATAACCTTTGACCTCTGGAAGAGGACCCATAGTTACCTGTGCCCTCCTGGCAAAAAAGCCCCGAAACAGTCCAATCCATACAATCTTCGTTCTCTACACATTTGGTTACTTTTTCAAAACAGACTACAAGCTATTAACTTCACAAATCAGGAGAGCTCACTTTGGTAGAGATGTCTAACTACTGATACCTGTATTCAAAAACTTTACCATGTATTCAAAAACCCTACAGAAGGATTTAGGCTGGAAGGGACTTCCTGGAGGTCACTTGGGCTAACGCCCTCCACAAAAAAAAGGTCTAAATCAGAAGTCTGGCCAGGTTGCTTAGGGCCTTGTTTAGTCAAGTTTTGAGTATCTCCAAGGCTGGAGATTCCACGACCTCTCTGGACAACCTGTCTTACTACCTGATCACTATTTTGTGTTCCCCCCGCCATCTAATTGGAATTTCCCTTGCTGTGACTTTTAACTATTACTCTTGTCCCTTCTCTGTGCACCTTGAAAAAAGAGCCTGGCTCTATCTTCTCTATAACCACCCATCAGGTAGTTGAAAACCGCCTTTAAGAACCCTCCTCATCCTTCTCCTTTCAAGATAAATGAACTCTGTCCTCTTACCCCTGCTACCACCTTGTCAGCACTCCACTGGACTCTCCAGCCTGTCGATGTCTTCTTTTTCATGCCAAGGGTCCCAAAACTGGGCACAGTACTTTGCAAGTGGTATCAAGTGCCAAATAAGAGGGGAATAATGGCCTTATCCACCTGCGGGCTACACTCTAATGCAGTTCAATGCATTTTGACCTTTATTGCACATTGAGTGCAGAGTCCCGTTCAATTTGTTGTCCACCAGGACGCCAAGTCCTTTCCCATAGCTGCTTTTTAGTCAGACAGACCCTCGTCTGCTCTGCTGCATGGGATATTGGGTTCCAGGACCCTAGAAATACAGTTGTTGGGGTTTGCTTCCCCCCGCCTGCCCCCCAAATTGCCAAGGAAGAAACACAAAGTGGTAAGGTATCAATCAAATTCCAAAGTTTACATTTTTAGTGGTAACTAATTGACTTGAAACTATCAAAACAGAAAAGAAAACATAGTCTTTGCAAAAGGGACAATAGTCCAAAAAGAACAGCATCTTCTCAAGAGGGCAGAGTGAGATACATTGTAAAAATGCACGATTTCATCTGAGGATAGCAGGGCAAAGGTGGAATATAATACAAAGATAGCTGAAGGTTCATTTTTAAACCACATTTTGGTTATACTAATAGAATAAAAATAATTCCTATTTTCTTACAATTTTAAGAAATACTATAGCACAAATACAGGCTTTTTATCTGGAAAAGAACCACTAAAAACATAGAAAGCAGTCGTTTCTGAGCAGTAAAAAGCTAAAGATTATGCTTACTCCAAATCTCACCAGTGTCGCTTAAGTTTAAACAAAGGGAATTTAAATAGAAGTAATGCATCTGTGCAGTCGCTAAAATAGTTCACATTCTCTTCCTCATAGCTCATGTCATTTTATTTTCTTAAGTGCACAGAATTGAAAATAAACCTTCTTAAAAAACATTATGTCTGCATATTCTTTCTTAAGCCTCTCCCACTTCTCTGTGACTCCCAAACCAACTTATACTAGTTAAGGGCCTCCCGTTTTTTTACACAGCCATGTGGCAACAGCTTTGCTACAGATGGTGGATAATTTAGTCACATAAAAAAGTTGAGGCCTGCTCTTCCCCCTCCTTTACAGATAACTCTGGCAGCAGCACAGAGATTTCTCTAGGCCTGGAAGCTATTAAGGTTCATTTCAAGCACCCTTGAATGACCAGGCTTCTTTCTGGCCTTCAATCAAGCTGTCTGAGAAACAGATGTTTAGATTGGTCTTGAGTTCTCAGAAACTGACCCTGGAACATAGCACATGCACACGGGAGAGGACATCACCACATCTGCATACATGGAAAATCTCCTATCTTGTACCCAGGTTCCGTCTTCAGCGAACAATCATCATGCAAAAAATGTCATCTCTCAGCTGAAGTAATGTTGACTCCAGGTGCTCTCATTCCCCATAGCGTAAAACCACTGGTAAAAACAATCTGCTTAACAGCTAACGTATATATTTTGCAAAAATTGAAACTTAACAAAAAACACTGAGAAAAGCGTCACGACATTTACCCCAAAATACTTAGCAAATAACGAGCAAAGTAAATTTAGATAAATCTGGCAAGCCAACAGACCTCTGCTCTATGGAATCATAGCGAGCTTAACATTAAATGCTTTGTACTTGTGCACGTGAACACAGAACAGTTGCAGCTTTTTTCTTTTTTCTTTTTTTTTTTTGCAATTAGAGAGTTGAAAGCTGCATAAAGTTATCTGCCATTATTTCCATCATCTGCCAGAAATGGAAAAAAAGTTGACCCTGAAATAATAGCTTTAAAAAAGATAGAACAGATTATTATCCAGCCAGTGCTAATGACCAAACTAACCATTTTAGCAGCTAAGAACACCATTAATTAAGGTCAAATGTTGCACCACATTGCTCTTAGCACTGAATTGGCAACTAAGATTCATTTAGTACTTCTATAGACTTTTCTAGAACTACTGATGTCAAAGAGAGCTGGGTATCTCACTCATACACAAGGCTTAAATCACACCTTTAACCTGTAAAGCACTATGACTAGTTTGGACATACACTGTCATTTTTACACTTCTGTTTAACATTTAGAAATTTAATTATAGTTTCCAAGAGAAAAGGGGGAAGGGGAGAAAGCCACACCCTCTAGCTCTTTGGAATATACAGCTGAACACTAAATTTTAATGTTGAAGCACACTATTTAACACAGACACAGGGTTTTGAGCAGAGTTACAGCATGCTTAAGACATTTCACTAACCTGTTGAACACACTTGGAGTTGGACTGTGATCTCGGTCCCTCTCCCTGTCTCTGGTACGTTCTCGATCTCTGTCTCGGTCCCGGTCGCGATCCCGATCTCGGGACCGCTCTCTCTCACGTTCCCTATCCTTCTCTCTTCGTGCATAGTAATCCCACTGTTTGCTGGTGTCCATAAGACTAGACCATGAAGGAGCAGAACCTGCAAGGTGCGGAAAGGTGACTAAAGAAAAAGATGCAGGTATTAGAAAGAACAAAATCAGATACCATACAAAAACTGTAATACTACTTATGCATGAAAACACAGACGCTTGTCAGCCTCTCCAATGACATTTTCCAATCTTCCCCTTTCACATAAAAGTTAATTCTGAGCAAACTCTGCATTTTTTCCATGATGCTAATAAAGGCCTCTGGCACTCATTTAAATATTCGTTATGAAGATATACAGAACTAGGATATACACCACAAAGACTGTCTAAATCCTTTCGAAAAAAAAAATATATTGTGCAAAGATTTGCTGAAAGAATCTGACTTTATGTGGTCAAATGGCTTTGTTTTGGGGGGAACAACAAAACAAAAACAACCAGAAAACAAAACTGCCTTTGAAACTCAGTGGCTCTGAAAGTACAGTTCAGAAAAACAAGGAGAAAGGATGCTTCCAACTTTATATTTAGATGCTACTATTTTTATGTTTTGTCCTTTAAAATCATTGTATTTAAAATATAATGTTAGTTACAATGTTCTCATTCACTAATTTATGTTCTGTACTGTGCTTTGCCATACTTTTCTGATTACAGAATGTAACAGCAACTTTAGAAATATCTTCCATACATTCATTCTGGGGAGAAGAAGTAATGCTCCCACTTACGCTTTCTAAGATACCATTTCTAATGAATACCCAGCACAACCACTATTACCATTAAAATACAATAGTTTCAGAAAATTAAGTATATTGTCTTAATCTAAAAGATGATATGCTGAAGAAGTTAAGAAGAAAGTCACAACACTGTCTCACAAGTTTTTTAGGTAACCAGCAATGGGAAGAGAGAAGGGATATGCTTCTCCATTGCTTTCTGCCATCACCGATGTAATAAATAACTTCTATTCTTAATGCCCCAATTGTTCTGTCCTGCCCTCCCTCTCCAGAAGCCCCGTGAATGTGTCCTGTTAGTGAAAAATAAGGGCTGTAGTATTTAACTGGAAACAGCACTCTCTAGTGGACTTACAGTACAGAGGACTTCCCACTTTCTGCTTATCTGCTTTGCTAGCCAATGATAACATAGCCTTCAATAAATCGTTTGTTTTGAGTTCCACTTCATTATCTATAATATGAGAACAATACTCACTTCACTTCATGGTGTCATGAAGAGACATTAATAGTATAATAAACAAAAATATCCACTGAACAATGTAAAGTGCATTACTGATGCTGTATGTAATACTGTCGATTTATAAAACCAGTGGCTTGTTCTGACAGCTATGTTCAGACTGCCTTGCCTACAATGTCTGAGGTATGCCTGCCCCAGAAAGCTTTGGCAGAAGCTTAAGACAGCAGTTTGCCAAGCGTCCAAAGGAGGAATACAAAAGACCTTTTGAGCAGGCAGCGGAGCAGGAAAAAACACTTCATTGTTAAAACACATTTGCAATGAAAAGCATTATAATTCTTTAAAAAAGCATTTATACGAGGTTTTGCCTCTAACAAAATACTTGACACTGTTTCACTTCAGGGCTACAGAGAAAATGAGGAGTTAACAGAAAAAAAAATCCCAATACAATAGTATGTTGTTCATTATACTGCCAAAACCTGAAATTCTTCTACGGAAAGCAGCCAGAAATAGCAAAAAAACAGCTGGGACTTTAAAGACTGCTAATTTCCTTGACTTGCCACTATGTCAACAACATACGTATGGTCTACGAGACTTGAATACACTGGCTGCCAGAATATTCTGATCTAAAGTGTAAACTTAAATTTAACTTTAAATATATTCTACAAAACAATTATTCTTATTAATGGTAGTATAAACTTTTATGATAAATTTTGGTTACTCCCTCACATCTGCAGTAATTCTCATCAGACAGAAGTATGTCATTTCTACCCCAGTAACTTGAGATAAACCAGTTATTTGATACTCTGCACATTTTTATATCTAGATTTTCACCAGTAATTATTCACAACACACAAGAAGCTTACTTTCTACTATGAATTGGTGCTCTGCGTTTACTACTTAGAATGAAGTAATTTGTCAATTTCAGCATTTCTACATGGATTATTCCAATAATTTCTACAAAAAGAAAGACACTTCCGAAGTTTAACTCTGATTTTATTTTTAAAACAGGAAGGGAGGGAGCTTTGAACAGTCAATAGTTTTGGAGAATTAAGTCCTGTTTGGGAGACGGTTTAAAAATTTAAAGCTGCATGGTGTCACAGTATAAGGCAAACTATTAATACATCATCTTTGTACCTCAAAAAATACTGACTCTCAAACTGTTTCTGTAACGCTAGATTTCCTGCAAGTTCATAAGATATAAAGAACACTTAGAGCACAGAACAGAGAAATGCTTGAGGAAAAAGCAAACAAGCATACAATACAAGTCGCTTCACTGGCAGACCAAATGCAGTGCCATATATTGACGGCTCAATCAAATTCAAAGATCTGACAGCAAAGGTAGCACTGAATTGTGAAAGGATTTAAGAGCAAATTGAAGAAACTGCATTGATGCAGTGGAAGAGCACAAAGACAAAATTACAAGTTAAGAATATTATTTTACCATGCAACCTTCCTAACGTGCTTGCAGTGGGAAACATGCCTGACCACTAGGGAGAAGAAACCAAGGTGTGAGATTAGCAATTTCAATAGGCAGAAGAAAGGCTAGAGCCTTAATCAATATTGGCATTTTTTGCAATGCGTTCCATATGCTTCCCCCATAATTTTGACAAAGCCATGAAACATACAGACTGGCAAAGAAGACAACGGGTTGGAGATTCAGTGCTATCATCCAAAGCAACTGTTAAATAAATATACTTAGCGATTCTTAATTAAAATGATCATCTGTACCCTACTGCACCGCTGAGCCCTCAATTTACCTACATTCTGATGCACAGAGAGCACTGGTAAAATACTGGCCAGCGATCACATTGTGACACAGGGACTGTGAGAGTAAGATGCTGGCCAGGAAAACATCTTTCACTAAGAGATGAACAACAGCAATAAAATGCCACTGAGCCTCTACAGATCCAAAAATCCGTATGACAGGCACAGCTTAGAGACAGACAATTTGCTTTGTGCAGTAAATATGAAAGCTTTTGCCACAATAGGGATGCCAGATACACTGGGAAGATGGGAGCAGACTGTGCTCCTTGGTTTCCATAACCATACAAAGGCAAACATAATTTTTTAACCCTGCTGCATCGATGGGCCGAGGCCAACTGTA